TTTATAAGTCATAACAGGTCATAAGGTCATAACCTATAATTGGCCAATAGGTCATAACAGGTCATAGGCCAACACTGATCACGAGTAACGATAAGATATAGGATTGTTAATAGGATCAATCAGTTTAGATTGGTATTAGAACATTGTTTTTACGTTTAAGAGTAACGCCATCCTTACCGATATAATATTAATTCCGACCCCTCCCTTAAATTACAAACCCCTTCCGATTAAACCACTATCGACCATAGTATAATAGATTATCGAGTCCCATCTTATTATATCTATACCACGTTAACTATTGGAGCTAAACCGTTACCCGCTCTCCTAATCTACAATAGTAACAATGTCATTCTTAAGTATAACAAAGGTTTATTCTGATTGGTTATTAAATATTCCTATAATGTGCTGATCATACTTTTGGTCAATGCTAAATATTGATATTACTTATGAAACAGAGAAATCAGATGTCTAATTTTAAAACAAAGGCTTTATATTTTAACTACCTTTATGGGATTGGAATTAATCAGAATATGGCAAGACTAATTTATTTCAATAATTATATCAGACAGTTGGGTATCCCTAATACTATTTATTCATCATTAGGGTTAGAAGAGATTTATGTAAGTAAAATCACCTTTCCAACACTTTTTATTATATTTTCGTTTTTGCCGGGATGATCAAATTTACACAATTTGATTGGTTGATCATCATATTTCGGGGTACATAGATGCACTCATATGTCACCTTCGATTTAATAGGTCCAACGAACTCGGGTCAATGATGATCGTACCTAAAAAGGTAAGGTATATTCAGTGACCCGACTTAGTCACGTTCCGATTGTCACGCTTCTCTGATTTCCAAAAGAACTTCTTCATTTTTCCGGGTTTATAATATAATAATAATACTGTAATAAAAAAGAATACAAATTCAAATGTACTGTATATCTAAATAGAAATCGTAACAAAAATTTTTTTTTAAAAATTGAACAGACATTTTAATGGTCAACTAAATTCATTGAATTTGGTTACATAGTTGTTAAAATATCTTTGCTCAAAGTATCATATAGATAGATTAATTCTGCATTTTTTTTGAAGATTTTGAGTTTTAGCTTCTTGAAGTAACAGAACAAAATCTTTATTATACATTCTTTCTAGAGTGTTAGAAGTGATGGTCTGAGTTATGAGGAGATTAGGAAGATCCTTACAAGTATACAATTTATATATCTGCTAGGCTGCTTTTTGTATATTTTAAAACTTTTTTGAGAATATTTCTTGGATTTTAAATAATTAGTTATAGATATATAAAATATATATTATAAAGAATTTTATATAAATATAAGATTTTATCATTGTTCTTATATCCTCCAAACTAATAAGATTAGTAATAAGAGTTGCTATTGATTAGAACGATATAGATTTTACTAGAATTCTTCTATCTTTATACTATATAAAAAGTGTAATAAATTAATATCATCTATATTTAGTATATGTAAAACTTAAAAACAATCAACTGAGATTTTGACCGGCTCCCGTTTAATACGGTATGTTTATTAAAGAGACATTTAAAGGCAGAAAAATTGTTTATTATAGTATTTGATGATAGTACATTTGAGAGTCGATACTGTATGAAGGGCATTTATTAATTATTTATATTGTAATATTGGTGGATCTGAATTCTTAAATAATTTTTACATTATATTTATTAGTTAAGGGATAATTTGCATTAATTAAATATCATTTTAAGTTCTAATTCTTTATTAATTTAAAAAGTTAGATATTTAAAATACTTTCCACCTGGGATTAATAGTTTTTAACCAAGATAAAAATCTTTCCTTTGTTTTATGCTTTAAATTAGCTCGATTGGTACATGTACTGTACATAGAATCGGTGCAATACAAGTTAGGTCAGCATAAAGGAGCGATCAACCCTCAGAAAAGTTACGAGTGTTAATGCCTCTCATATAGTAACAAAACTCGCGTGAAAATTTAAATTTCAAACCAAAGGTATTGTACATCAGCAGAAGACAAACGACAGATTTGTGTATCATCAAAATTAGTTACACGGGGATGTCGTAATACAATTATGTTACTGTACATGCATGTATTATTGTGAAAATGGAAAGATACAACTAACTGATATTGGTACGTACAAATTATAGAAACAAACTTTATACCATAGATATTACTTATTTTAATCATTATCAATGATTAAAGATCAGCATTGAGTTACAAATATAAATTTAAATTTATGCGTTTTGAAATATCAAAAATTCATATCTAACTTAATGGCGAACTCTTTAGAAGGACAAATTCAAAAAGAAATTTCAGAAAGACACATTAATTTTATTAAATATAATAATTTTAATAAAAATCAGAAATTGATTGGAGAAGGTGGATTCGGCATTGTGCGCGAAGCTTTATGGGAGGAATGCGAATTGCCAGTTGCTCTTAAAATGCTAAAGGGTGATTTAAAGCCGACTGATATAAATGTAAATGATAAAGATATACGTGAATTTGTTAAGGAGGTACTGTAATATTTATTAAATAATTTTTATTATAGTACTCTTTATATTTGTCTTATTTCAAAATATGTTACTCGGTATAAATTAAATCGTCGCTTTATTTTTTTTTATGTCGAGTTAATATGTTTAGAATTAAACAAGTTGTCAAGTATTGATTTTGGCAATATAGCATTTATATATTTTTTCATTAATATTTTTAAATAATATAGATTAAAATTTTGCAAAAAGTTAGCTATCACTCTAACATAATTCAGTTTTATGGTGTCACTAAAGATGAAGAAGGATATTATTACATAGTCATGCAACTCGCTGCAGGAGACTTACGAAATTATTTAAGACAAAATTTTTCAAACCTCAAATGGACTGACAAATGCAGAATTGCTAAAGAGATAACTTTAGGCCTTTCTT